TATTGGAGAGGGTGCAGGCTGGGCTGAGGGACACACATTGCCATGGACAAATTTTGTGCATTGGGTCTCTAGCATATAAAAAATTATAATGACTAATTTATTGCCTTAGTCTATGTGTCTAAACTCAATATGATTCTACTCTAAAAGCACTTGACTAGTGTTGGTTAGTTTCTATTGAAAATGCATAAAGGGTTCTGATTCATATGATTTTTAGAAGTTTTGTTTTTTTTTTCTTAAATCAGCACATCATCAGTGTTTCATATGCCCTGAATATCTTTAGCTATTTTCGTTATACCAATAAATACAACTTTGAAAAAATTTAAATTGTTCTATTATGTTTGATATTTTGAAGCTGTGGTTTTTAATTTTTTCATTGTTACCAGTTTTAATATTGACTTATTTTTCACTTAATTCTTTGATGTCAATGAGTTATTCACCCTGGGAAATATAAGTCACTATATTCACTATAAAATGTTTTCTTCCAGTGAAGTGAGCCCTGGTAAATATAATTTGAGAATAATGTAACTGTAGGGTAAATATAAAAAAAAATTATATCTAACAAGATACTTCATAAATTAGCACTGATCTGACTTCCTATGTTATTTAAATACATACATTGTGTCAGCCATTGCAGTAGGAGTTGATAAGAACATTTCTGTACTTCAATAGGGCACCATTTGGTAGGAAAGATGGATACAACATGTTACAGCCATACCAGATCCTGTAGTAGTTCTAAAATATTGTCTATCATATATTCATTTTTCTTCATCTAAGGCCATACCTTACTTTGCTTCTCTTAGTCTTCTATGAGCCAATCTTATATGTGTGAGGAATTTCTTCTTCTTTAAGATCAATAAAGATGTTGTTAGATATATCCCTGGTAAAGCCTACCTTTGGTCTCAACAGGTAATATTATTTTATAGAATGTTCCATAATGTGTGTGTGTGTGTGTGTGTGTGTGTGTTTTGTTTTTCCCATTGATATTCAGAGAGTGGAAGTAGGAGAACTGGGGAGAGGAGGAGAAAGGGAGGAGAGAGATAGAGAAACAATTTGAGGGAGACACATCGATGAGTTGCCTCTTGTTCACATCTTGACTTGGGCTGGGAATTGAACCTGCACCCAGTTACATACCTTGACAGGGAATTGAACCCATGACTCTTTGGTGCCCAGCCCATTGCTCTAACCACTGATTGATGCCTGTCAGGACAATTGTATTTCTTTAATTGTTTCATGCACACTTATTTATAAGTTCCATTTTATGGTTCCATTATCTATAGTCTAATCTTGCTGATTATTGTCCTTCTTATTCACACATTTTCTTGTGTGCTATTTATATTGTATTTTTAACACATAATCATTGAGGTGTTAGTTGAAGAAATCTCTGCAGCCTCAGTTGAAAGCATGTTCTTTAAGAACAACTTAATATTGGATCTGCTAAAGAACTCCAGTGATATCAGTAGCCAAGGATGATTTTCCCCTTAATGCAGTATTTTTTGTCATCTTCCTACGCTAGTGGAAGGCAGCTTTGTTCTAGGACACCCTGTGACTGAGATTGCTGCTTTTACTGATCTTGATCGAATGTGGTAACCCAATTTCTAACTTTTCATCTTAGGCTGGCCCATTAACCTCATCCCTTATGGCTATAAAATTTAGCTCCGAAGGGTACAAAGCAATAACACTTCTTTACTCCCTAAGCTTTTTTCATTGCTTGGTCTTCAGGTTTTTGTATTTTGATCCCAAAGTAATAATTCTCTCTCTTGTAAACCTATGTTTGCACCTAAAAAAATAGTTGTTATATTTTAAGCTAGCATTTTTATACCAGGAGAGTGACATGTCACAGCTTCTTATATTTTACTTTGAGCTTTACCCATAAAAGCATTTTTGAAATCTTAATTTAATTATTTTTGAAAGCTATTTGCAAAATAGAGTAAATATACTTTTGCACAAATTCTATATAAAACTTTAAATGACAATTTTCCTTATGCATATTTTAAGAATATTTTAAATCTATTATCTTTATATAATCATACATAATATATATATATATAATAAATTTTTGCTAGATTAGGAAATGGGTGTAATTCCAGGTTAGTTAGACTAAAAATATTTAACGTAGAATAATGTTGATTAAAAATAACATGAATATAAAATAGAAATAATATTTCATTGACATGTTTACTGGAAGGTCAAAAAGAAAAACATAGGCTTGGATGATCAAAAGGAAAAATAAATATTACAAATTATTTTCCTGTTCAACTATCAGGTATCATGTCTGGTTTTAAAAATTTAGGATTATTATAAAGATATTTTCTTAGTACTACTTTGTGCTTCCTACAAAATGAACATAAAAACATTTAATATGATTGTCTGTAAAACCAGAGAATAAATATGTGTGTATGTGTGATTTTTTATTTTATTTTAAAACCTGAATGGATATTTCTCCAAATTGAATGGTTATTTTTAATAAAACCCCTTAGTTCTTTATTTAGACTACTACTAACTGCACTTCTTTAAGAACATTTTGAGAAATTTGGTCTTGTCAATGATATTTTGGTATTCATTTCTCCATTCAATATACTATTTTTTTCATATCTGGATTTTGCTCATAATCTTGTGAACATAAATTTGTCCTATCATTTGTTAAGTGAAAATATCATACAAGATAAAAGGAGTAATAAAATAAATGTTATGGCTTTTTTCTAGAGACCTCCTTCTTTGCAAGATTCTTTGTATGAAGTTGATAATTATTTTTCATTTTAACTGAATAGATATTTATAGAACATTTTTAATGCACCCAATGTTGATGTAGAAGACTTTTAAATTCTTACTAAAATTCATATATTTAATTCAATTTATTTAATTTTATTAGTAAACTTGTCAAAAATTAAATTTATTTCATTTCACATTGTTTTTCCTGGTAATCCTTTCCAGGATAACAGAGACCATCACTTCCATTGGTAGTGTTCAAAAATTTTTTTCTGTGATAAATTTTTATGAATTGACCTTTCTGTAACCAAGAGCTGACAAATAATGAAGAAAAAAAAAACTAGGTAAGAAAAGTTTCTGAACACAGAAATATAGAAGAAAAACCCAGGAGGGCACTTAGTATTTAATGTAATAAAATAAAACAGGACAAATGTGGAATAAGGGATGATAAGTGTACAATTTATTAACTCATCATCCATTAATAATTATAAAGCCATTAGAAAAGTATGAAAAATGTAAGCAATTTTTATGCAGACAGAAGTCAGACCCCCTCATTTATTGTATCATTGATGCTTAGTATACAACTTGGCATTTAAAAGACTCACACTAAATATGGTTTATTTATTAAATAAATGCAGTACTAGTAAAAAAAAAAATTAGAATGTAGGAAAAATCTACATTTCAGAACATCAGTAATTTGGACCTGTAATTAAAATTTTCAACTGGCTTGTGCACAATTTAATATAAAAATATCCACAAACACACACAAAAGTAACAACACACAGATATTATATATATTATATTATATGTGCTATATGCACTTGACATATTCTTTAAATAAAAGTTATTGACCAAAGTTCTTGTGTTATTGTTGAGTTCTTTTTGGATAATTTTGAATTTATTTACTAAAAACAATGAAAATATAAACAAGATTTTTTTCACTGATTTTTTTTACAGAGTTGGTCATTCAGTGCTGATATACTTCTTTTGGCTTCTTGAATGCCACATTTTTAAATTTTTCTTTTATTCACTGGTTGTTCCATCTCAGGCCTTTCTTTGTGGGTGTTATCTGCCCCCACATTTCTTTTCTTTCTTTTTTTAAGGGGAAAACATTATATACATATATATATATATATATATATATATATTTACAAAGAGAAAGGGAGAGGGATAGAGAGTTAGAAACATCAGTGAGAGAGAAATACCAAACATCGATCAGCTGCCTTCTATGCACCCCCTATGGGGATGTGCCCGCAACCAAGGTGCATGCCCTTGACCGGAATTGAACTCGGGACCCTTCAGTCCTCAGGCCTATGCTCTATCCACTGAGCCAAACTGGTTTCAGCCAATCCTGTTTTTTCTTGAATTCTAGACTAGTATATTCCACTTAATGTCTGCATTAAGATCATTCAAATTTTTCAAAATTAACTCCCTGATTTTTGTCCTGGCTGGTAAGGGTCAGTTGTATGGAGCATTGTCCCATACTTTGGAAGGTAGCAGGTTTGATTCCTGGTCACATATCTGGATTTCAGGTTTGATCTCTTGATCAGGGAGCACATTGGAGGTGACCAATCTATGATTCTATCTCACTCTCTCTACTTCTCTCTTTTCCCTCTTTCCCTTTCCATAAATATTAGTGAACATGTTCTCTAATTTTGCATGGATTTCTAAATATATTTTTCTATATCAAAGATAAAATTACTTTATACATAACTTTCTAATTATTTACAAATATTGGAAATTAATTTATGCATATTCTACTGTAACAACAGACATATTAAAATGATGTATTTTGAAGTGAGGATTAAAAAAATAATAACTCCTCGATTTTTTCCTCCCCCAATATTTGTCCCTCACAAAGCTTTTTATCACAGTTGATGGAAATTTTAATCTTCCAGGTTTTAGGACAAAACTTGTAATCATCCTTGATTCCTATTTTCCTCTGAGACTGCTCATCCAATCAACCAGAAAATCTTCTGGCATCTACTCAAAATTCTCCACAGGACTTGTATGCATGCATATAAGCCTAACCGATGGACACAGACAATAGGGGGGTGAGGGCATGAGTGGGGGAGATGGTGGGGTAATGGGGGGATAAGGACACATATATAATACCTTAATCAATAAAGGAATGTAAAAACTGTTATCCAGAAAACTGATTAGATTTTAATAATATGACTTTTCAGATACAAGTTACATATAGAACTCCATCAGAATGTGGTAAAAGGGCCAAAAAGAATAAGTATGTTTACTTGCAATATATCATCACTTAAATGTATTCCTTCTGTTTTCAGGAAAGGCCTATGCTCCAGAATTCTATTATGATACCTACAATCCTGTGTGGCAAAACAGACACCGTGTTTATTCCTATAGTCTACAGTGGACACAAATGAATCCTGATGCAGTGGATCGGATTGTGGCATACCGGCTGGGTATTAGGCAGGTGAGAAATTTAACTGGTGGCTCTTTTTTCTTTTCTTTGTGAAGACATTGTTACTATGGTTAGCTGCCATAAAGTTTTAATTATTTTTATGGATTTCTAAATATATTTTCTTGTATAAAAAAATTACTCTATTCATAACAGTTTATTTACAAATCTTGGAATTTAATTTATGCATCTTCTACTATGATAGCAGACATATTAAAATGACATCATCTTTTGAGCCTTCAAATCCTTCATCACTAGATAGGCTATAGAAATGGCATGTCATAATTGCTATGAAATAAACATGCAAGGTGTTCTATCACTCACTTATACTGTATAATTATTTGTATTATTTGTTAGAAGCTAGAAAACTTATATTAATATTTTATACTCAATGTAACTGATAGATGACAAATAATGAAGAAATATGAAAATCTAGTATGATTGATTTCCTCAGCAGTCTAAGATTATAGCTTATGAGAAAATATATTTTTTCAAATGTACTGCTATTAAATTCAGTTATTCTTTGTTGGTATAACTATTTTTGCAATTTAAATGTAGATCTTTAGAATGTTTTCTGTTTAGTGTATTATTTAGGGTTCCTTTTAGCACAGCAAAACATTTTTGAAGATTTACCTATTAGCTATATCTCACAACTTTGCATTATCCATAGATTTGTAAGGTATGCTTTATACTTTATTATGGAAATAACAAAATAGCATTTTGAGTTTGGACAGTAGAAAGAAAAAATATTGTTTGGAGAGAAACTGATTAACCATCAGTAATCCACTCAAGTACACTGTCATAAAAGCAATGTTTTTCTGTTTCACATTTATACTAAAAGACAGTATAAAATATGTACTTTATTCCAATTAAGCAACATATTATGCTGAGTATTTTTATTCTACATATCTGATAATCAGAAACTAGATCTTTTCCTGGTGAATACATCTGTCATTTGATCATCGCTGCTTCCTTGTCTAAGTATGACGAGGTCACTCACAGCAGAGAGCAGTGGGTCTTCAGAAACTTCCTGTTAGTCCTCATTTACCTCAGCCCCCAAGTAAATTTGAGTAAGTCCCAAATCCATATCAAAAGTGTTTTAATTTATTGATAAATTTCCTTGATAGAGAAGATGACAGAGTCATAATTTCATCATTAGTTTATCACTTTCTTCCTCACTTACATTCATTGGAATATCTGGTAACTGCCCATGGCACCCTGTGTGCTGAAGGGCTGCCTGATGTAAGTCTTCATAATTTGCACAATTGTGCATCGATCCCTTCCTTTAACATCTCTCAAAGCTTTTGATCCCAATGTGTCCATTGTGTATGCCAGTTACCTTCTCTGCAATTCAATTTTAACAGAAAAGTAGTTACCATTTGAGTTTCCCAATTAAATGGACAGATATTAGGAGACTTAGACTTCTCCAAAGCAGAATCAAACTAATCAATCTCTTCCTTCTCATCCATATCTTGTATTCATTATTAGTAAACTACCTTCTGTAATGTATGCTGCTAGTACTGCTGTTATTTTTCATTAACAGTTTCTCTCTTTGATTTTTTCTTCCCTAACATAAGCATCTCTAATGTTGGTTTTTATGTGTCTGATCATAATGTATGCAACGACACAAATTTTCCAATTGCTGTGTTCTTCCTGGTGAACAAATTAGATAATTTTCCATTGCTCTATCATTTTAGAATAAATTATATGTGTGTGCTCATGTGTATATAATTTTCTCTTTCCTATGTTTTGTTAAAATTATAAATTCTGGACACATCTGGTCTCCAATTCTAGCTAATCTATTCTTAGCATTTGTAAACTATATAATCTTGAGCAGATTTTCAAATGTGCCTAAACCTAGTTTCCTACCTGGTAAATTGAAGATAAAAACCATACCTATTGGGCAATGGGAGAGTAGAGTGGAATACATTCATTACTTTTCCCATGGGCCAGGTTCCCTTTACATGGCGCTCTTTGCATAAACATCCATTGAAAGCCTTGTACTCACCTGCCAGGTTGTGTAAGGATTAAAGAAAAGAATGCATTTTAAGAACTTAAGAGGTCTACAGTTTTCATTTCAGTTTTATTTAGTGCACTATATATTCTAGGCCTAAGTATTATTCCAAGCTATGATTAAAAAAACATAATTTGTAGATATTTTTTCACTCTTTATTTTTACTTTAAACCAATTGTCCTTCATAATAACCATTTTACTGATTCACATTTTTCTCTTCCACTTTGAGACTTAGTGTAAAGCCATATTAGTTGTATCTGTATATCTGCTGATAATACTGTTCTTTCCAAGTTTGTGAGATTCATGTATCCACCAGAGGAAAAACTATTTCTGGTATTATAAAATATATTCTGGGCAGGAAGGTGTTGTTTGTGAATGTAGCCTAAGAACAGAAAGAGCATTGCACACTTCTCTTTCCCCCACTACCAAATTCTTTACACTTAACCCTCACATGAAAATCTTATAAGCAAAATACTTTCAGTACAAAACATTTCTTTTGAAGATCCCCCTATATATCAGTTGGTGATAATAGGGCAAAAACATTTTAGACAATGAAACTGATATAGTTCTTTAAGAATATTCCTTATAATAATAAGGGGGAAAGGTATTTTTGTAAAATAGGTTATTTTTCTATATTATTTTGAAAAATTTAGATTCCTTTTTTCTAAGGTATGTACATTTAGCTATCAATATTTTAAGACACAATTACTTTTAAATTCTGATTTGATGTTCATTGTAATAATGATTTTATTTTATACTAGTGCACGAGGTCTAGTGCACGAAATTCATGCACAGGGTGTGGAGTGGTGGGTGGGGTCTCTCAGCTCGCCCTGAACCCTCTCCAATCTGGGACGCTTGGGGGGATGTCTGATGCCTCTCGCAATCTGAGACCGCTGGCTCCTAACCACTTGCCTGTCTGCCTCCCTGAACACCCCTAACTGCTTTCCTGGTGGCCTGATCACCCCTAACAGCCTCTGCCCTGCCCTGCACCAGGACCAGGGCTTCCCTCACTCTGGCCAGCTGCAGGCACCCATGGGTACATGGCTTCGCATGGGCCACAGCCACAGGCGCCGGGGACAGTGGTGCAGGCAGCTTGTCCCTCTCCTGGGTGCAGCTGCAGGCACAGCTGCTGGTGCCTGGGATGGGGTGGGTGACTTATCCCTATCCGGGCCTCAGGTGCAGGCACAACCACTGGCACCCTGGACCATGGGGCGTGCAGCTTGTCCCTCTCGCGGGCTGTAGGCCCGGCTGCTGGTGCCCAGGACCACAGGGCGTGCAGCTCGTCCCTTCCTTGGGCCGCAGCCTAGCTGGTCCTCACTCCTCTTTCCCCAGTGTTGAGTCTCTGAGATCTTACTCCATGATAACATGTTAGCTCCTTATTATATAGGATGCATATGGCCTTTATCATCTCCCAAGCTATCTCAGAATCTTGAATCAATGAGCTTTTGAATGTAACCAACATATGTTGGATGATGTTTGAGTAAACAATGTTTGAAAGGTTATCTAAGAAACATGTTTAAAAAATGGATATTTTCCCTAATAATATTTTACCTTTGGTTATGAAACCAAGTTTTCTTCAATGGATTATTAATAATTTATGTTACACATTTCATTTTAAAGTCTTGTTTCAGCCTATATTTTTATTTTGAGCCTATATGTCTAAATAATGTTTTTCTATCATCAAAATATTTAGGATATCTAGAGCAAAGTAGCTTTCCTTTTAATATAAAATATGGCATTAATTATACATTTTTTAATTACATGATATCTGAGAAACAAATTTGATCCTTGAAGACTAATGGGTGAGTTCTAAACAGACTGACATACCTTGATGTGGGGTATGGGAGATGAGAAGAGATAAACCAACAAACTTATGTACATATATGCATAGCCCCTGGACACAGGCAATAGGGATGGGTAGGGGCTGGGAGGGGGAGGGGGTGGAGGGTGAATGGGAGATATATGTAATATTACCAACAATAAAAATATATTTAAATAAATAAATAATCCTACTTTATTTTTAATCTAGAAACTGTAAGAACTTTATTACCTATTCTTAATTAAAATCACTGCCATGTTATTAAACCCACCGCTGGAGGAGCTGGTAAACCAAACTTAGCATTTATTGAGCTTTCCAGGAAATTTAGCTGACTCTTGGTTAAAACTTTATGGTCCATATTTAAATATGATGAGGAAAATTGTCTCAAAATTTGAGTATTGGCTTACACACGTTTCTTAAAAGTTGTTGCAGTGTATCTAGGAAAAAGCATTAGAGCTCTAGAATGACTGCTTTAAGAAACTTAAAAAGGATGAATATATCATGTGAAGTTAAAAAATTAATGTGTCAAAAAAGTTTCCTCAAAATTATAATGTCTGTAAATTAATTATTTGAGCTCAGCTAAGCAATTATTTAATCTCCTTAGACAGCTACTAGCCTCTCAATTATATGCATCGTTTGTTGCTTAACAGGAAAGAGAAAAAGGTTATTTGAATGTCTACTTTTCTTGGTATCTAATGAATTAAGAAACCAGAGAAACTATTTCTAAATTAACTGAATATACCAAAAAAATGTAAACATAATTTGACTTCATTTAAAACATACACAAGTATAGTTTCTAATATTAAAGTATTTTAGAATTTTATACAGTTTTATTTTTATACTTTTCCATTGAGACAGAATAGATGTGATTGTTTTTACTGTCATCTTTGGAAAGTAGGATATTTTATTGAATAAAATGCCTTAACTTTCCCTGTACCTGTGGTCTTAAATCCTGATATATATTATAATGCTTAGAATTATCATATTCATTTACTCACTAGTCAACCAAACTTTGAGTATGTTAATTATATAGTAATTACCAGGATTTAAGAAAGAAATATTGTCCTCAATGCTATATTGAAATAGGAATATATGCAAAATGTAATAGAAACAAGTGTGGGAGCAGTTAATACTGCAAATTGGTGTAGTAGGCTTAAGTGACATGATCACCAAGGTGGAGAC